CAAGTGACATGTTAAACAAATTGCTAGAAAATAATATTAAAAAATAATAATGGGGAAAAAGAAACTTGCGTAAAGTGATAAATTGGTTCAAAAAGACAATTAATTAAAGCGTATTAATTAATTTCTTAACTAATTAATCAAATAATAAATAATAAATTTAAATTATTAATTTATCTTTAATTAAAGAAAATCGAAATGGCCAATCACCTGATGGTTCACTCTCTTCCAGGACTTTTGATGGCAGGAATTAAATATGAAGAAAAAGAGTGGCTTAAATATGTTAAGACCCATGTAACTACTAGACTAGTCTTTTAGTTATAATGTGGTGTTGAACACATGTGATAGGCCACTCAATGTCTCCTAGGGTTGATATTGCAACTTAGAAAGAGACACTTCATTATTATTATTATTATTTATTTAACATATAAACATATGAATACTTATAATGACTTGAAGATAATAAGATAATTTGTCAATGGCCAATAATAAGGAAGAAATTAACCATGTGTTGCCCTTATATTTAACTCACATACTTCTTTTATTATACACTCAACGTGGGATTTTCCCACTCAACACATCTTTCATATGCAAGCCCAATATGAACATTGGGCTTTGTCACATTGGGCTTTGTCACAAGGTTTAATATGCCCTCTTACATGTAAGCCCGACATGAACTTTGGGTCTTGTCAAGTGGGCTAACAACAAATTTCCCAAGACAAAACCTAGGCTTTGATACCATGTAAAAATTGTGCATTTGGGCTTCAACACAAAGCTTACATCCAAGCTAAAACCATGTGAAAATTGTGCATGTGGGTTTCAACAAGACTTTGATACCATGTGAAAGTTATGCATGCGGGCTTAATACAAAACTTGTATCCAACTTAAAATCAATTGGCAATAGGTGGAGTAGCCCTCCTTATATTTAACCCACATATTTGTTATGCACTCGATGTAAAATTTTCCCACCCAACATGCCCCCTCACATGCAAGCTCATTATGAATGTCATGTTACGTGGCTTAATACACTCCCTTACATGCAAGCTCGGCATCACCTTTGGGTCCTGTTACATAGACTAACAAGAGGATTCTTAAGATGGAACTTAGGCTCTAATACAATGTGAAAATTATGCAATTTTCAAATTTTCACATGGTATCAAAGCTTAGATTCTGTCTTGAAAAACCCATTGTTAGCCCACCTAATAAGATCCAAAGTTAATACAGGGCTTGTATGTAAGAGGGTGTATTAAGCCACATGATAAACTTGAGATTCATAACAAGCCTACACATAAAAGGGGTGTGTTGAGTGCAAAAATCTCACATTGAGTACATAACAAAAAAGTATATGGGCTAAATATAAGGAGGGTTACTCCACCTATTGCTAATTGATTTTAGGTTAGATGTAAACCTTGTATTGAAGTCTATGTGCACAACTTTCACACAATGCAGTTGTAGTGTTTCTTGGTTCGAATCATCAATAAGTGAAAATTTTGATGCTTGAATTTTTATAGCCGTGGGTGTTTCTTGGGTTGGGCATTCATGTGGGAGATGTGGGATTCATCACCCTTCATGGTGGCCCCGTCGTTATTTCTGATTGTCAAATCCACCCAATAAGAAATAGGGGAAAGATCAGGAAGATGAAAACCTTCACTAGTGGGGCTTCCAACTTGGGACTTCGCTCAAGAATTAGTAGATAAGATATGAACACATTTTTGTCCCCTTAATTTCGGGCTCAAGGTTTTCCCTATTACTCTTAATGAAATTGTGCATTTCTGCAAACCTCTCATTATAGCAATTTCCATTATATACTTTTCTGTGCACCCCAAACACTTTACTTCCTCATTTATTGCCTTCACTTCACTAGATTTGATTCCACTAGTTGTGCCTTCAAAAGAATAAAAAACTTGGTTTTGAGCTACTTACACCTCATGAACTACTTCTTGCTCCCCAATGGCTCCTCCTTCGCCATCACCTCCACTTTCTAAAACCTGCCCGGTCTCACTGTCACCCTTGTCCTGCAAAATAAATGAATAACAAACTTGAGGTTCATAGCAAGCCTGCACATAAAAGGGGCGTGTTGAGTGGAAAAATCTCACATTGAGTATATAACAAAACAGTATATGGGCTAAATATAAGGAGGGCTACTCCACCTATTGCTAATTGATTTTATGTTAGATGTAAGCCTTGTATTGAAGTCTTTGTGCACAACTTGCACACAATGTAGTTTTAGTGTTTCTTGGTTTGAATCATCAACAAGTGAAAATTTCGATGCTTGAATTTTTACAGCCGTGGGTGTTTCTTGGGTTGGGTTTTCATGTGGGAGATGTGGGATTCATCACCCTTCATGGTTGCCCCGTCATTAGTTTTGATTGTCAAATCCACCCAATAAGAAATAGGGGAAAGATCAGAAAGATGAAAACCTTCACTAGTGGGGCTTCCAACTTGGGACTTTGCCCAAGAACTAGTGGATAAGATATGAACACATTTTTGTCCCCTTAATTTC